AGAATATGCATATATTCATGGACAAATTGTTAGTATAAATATATATATATATATATATATAGAAATTTTGATTTTTTTGTCTACAAAAGACTTGTGATGTTTACTGCAACTTTGCCAAATTTTGTGAAGCTATATTACATACTTTTAGAGTTACAGTATGTAAACCTTCATTGTTATACCATGGTTACAAGGTCATGTAAAATACATGAAACCTTTGCAAAAGGATTAAGTTAACAGATATAACTTTAGTGGTAGTCTATTTGAGAAGAAATTAAATTTACATTACAGTGTATTTACATTACATGAGCATTACCTAGACGAAACTTAACACTTGTTATTTCATGCTCTAATATCAAATACATATACATTAGTCTGTTTCACAATCAAAGCAACAGCTAACTGCCAACCTTTGCTCCTTAATGACCAATATTATGGTCAAAAAGATCTGTCTGCTGTATTTATGTCTCTTTCATTACCCTTCTTAAAAATAAACAGCAACAAATGTATGTTGCAGGATGATGATATAAAATCCTATAATCATAACTTAAAATACAATCTCAGATATAACAAATGTTTATTAGCACTATTTTGTACCTGCGGTAATGAGGACTAAAACAATTTGAACAATAAAAATTAAAAGAGAGCATTATATAGTGAAACCCTGATGTTACACGCTCCGATTTAACGCGAATTTGGATATAGCGCGATGGGTCATTAACTTTTTCGACACGGGCTCGGTCTCTGGGACTGACCTCATAACCATAACCTCGTTATAGTTTACATACTAATAACTTTTAATATTTTAAGTGTATCTTTACAAAACCCCGATTTAGAGCAACTCGGTTTGTTTCGCTATGAGATTTTATGGACCTCAACGATCGCATTATAACGGGGCTACACTGTATTGTGACATCTAGATTTCTTGTGACTTTATCTAATTTAATCTGAATATATTCAGTAAGACCACTTTCTAATAAGATTTTATAAAAATTCTCACCTCTGGACTAGTCTGACTAACTTCATCTTGGACAGGTGCTACCACAGATAATGGATTGAAACTGGCACTATTTTCAGTACTGCAAACTGATGGTTGAAAAGGAATGCCAGCGAGGTTCTCTTGGTTAACTGGTTTTACACTGAAACGGCCACACTGATAGGCTAGATTGGAGCCTTCAGAGGTTGAGTTGCTGCCTTGTAATTGATACTTTGTGGCTTCATTTACATTTGCCTCAAAGCTACTCTTCATTAATGATTCACCATTTGGTTCTAGAGAAAGACAAGTGTTTTCAAAAATGGAATCAGGCTCATCTTGATGTACTTCTCTCACTGGAGTTACTAAAAACCGAGAAAACCTACTAGTCTGTTGTCCCTTTGTGAGAGTTTGCTGTGAAGCTGTGTTTCCTATAAGGGGAAAACAATTTAAACTTTAAGTAAATTAGATAATGTTTTTGAAGAAAAATTTGAACAGATCTATTGTGTGATGTATACTGTTATTTTGGTGATTTTATTTATAACAATTAAACTAAAATGGCATTGTTATAAAATATAGAAAATTTTTAAGACAAGCAATATATAATAGTTGTTCTTATTCACGAACACTATATTGCATTACTGCAAAACTCTTGTTCAAATAATAACAAACAGTAACATTTAAGAACTTCTAGGTACAAAAAAACACAGGGAAAGGTTAGGTAGCACTTTTTCAATAAAGCAGGAAGAATGATGGAATACCTGGCAAGAGATGGGATGAGAAGCTAGGAGGTTGCATTTGGGTACTGACACTACAAGTAGATGAGACAGGTGAAGAAGACAAAGTGACATCAACAGCTGAAGGAATCTCAGTAGATGAAGCTTGCTGAAACAATGGATTTCCACATGAAGTGGTGCATAACACACTTGAAGATGGGCTTTGTAAAATGTGACTTGGAAAACCATGAGTGACAGAAGCTGATTGAAGCTGCAAAGATGGAAAAACTACACTGTTGGCAAGAGAAGCAACAGGAAGAAAGAATTCAGGTTTCAGAAGAGATGGCTGTCCAGGTGTGATATTGCATGAGTGGGACTCAGTGACATCTGCCATTTCCATGACTGCAGCAGGGGTTTGAGGCTGAGAGTGGGGTGGAGGAAGAACCTGGCCTGACAAAGGATGATGAAGCTTAGGTAAGATGTCCAAAACTGAATTCTGCTGGGATCCAGATATCTCAGAATGGACATGGGACAACACTTGGGGATGGGAATGTGCTGGTGTAGTGATAGTTTGTGCTGGTACAGTCTGTGCAAAGATAGCTTGCAAACCTTGTTCAAAGTTAGCAGTTAAACCAGCAGAAGCACTAGTTACATTATGTAATTTTTGAAGTTCTAGTTTTAAATTTTCAAGATTAGTGGCCACTGCTAGTTTTCGGGGTGTCACAGCATCTGAATGAGAAGACAGGGATGGAAGAGCTTTGGAACGTGATGACACAGTCTCTATAGCATCAGAAGGTAAATGGGACATAACACTAGTGACAGATACAAACAAAGGTGTACTTGTGTTTCCTCCATAATTCAAAGGAGGTTGGAATTCTGCATTTAAAGTCATTGATTCTATCCCTGGGGTAGATGAATGTACTGCATCTTTATCTAATGTGGAAGAAAAAGGAAGTGAATCTTTTTCCTTTATTTGGTGTCCTGATGTAGCAATACATGACTGAGAAACAATGCCTGTCTCTGAGAAAAAAGAACCTGATGTAGCAGTACTTATAACAAAGGTTGGTTGGGATGGAATTGGAAAGGTCAATGTACAACACACTACTGATAATCCTAATGATTGAACACCTGCTGTACCCATTTCACCAGATACAGAACTGTTAGTTATGCACTGAGTACCAACTGTACTTGCTCCTGACAGCGGTTTATTATACAAGTTAAAAACACAAGCTTGTGCAGTACTTGATATAGTAGATGGTGCATCCTTTGATCCTACAGAGGTCTGATGAGAGATGTTTGACTGCTGGTAGGGTTCTGTTTTAGCACCCAGCACAGTCGTTTGACTACTATTAACAGTAGATGCTACTAATAGTTCTTTCTGATCCACTAAATGATCTGATGTAAGGGACTCTATATGGTTTACTTCTTTTGTGTGAAGAGCAGACTGAGAGACAATGTTTGTATTTTTCATACCCACTGAATTTGCCATTTGATTCTCATAATCACCCAATGTAACAATAACTGCTTGTTCTTTAAGCTGGTGTTTAAGTTTATCAATGTCAGCAGTAGGCTGTACAACTTTAAGTTGTATTACATGTCCTTCCAACTGATTTGTAGTAGAAAACGTCTGAGGTACACTTAATGGTTGAACAGTTTGCTTTCCAAAATCTGCACTGGTAATAGTAGACTTAGAGACAACTATTGTCTGTGGCAACTGATCTCCAAGCTGTATGGTGGTAACAACTGTAGAAGGGAACAACACTTGAGGTACTTGATTTTCAAGATGACTGGTAGTAGCACTGGAATGAGGATCAACTGAGTTCTGTGATAGTTCACAGGTGTTATTAACCAACACTGGGGCAACAGCTGGCTCTGGTATTTGTTGTCCAATGATAGTCGTGGAGTGAGGAATAACTCCTGGCTGTGATAGTTTATCTGCACATAGATTGGAAGAGAGAAGTATAGTGGCTGGTTGCTGTAGATGACCTCCAAGTTGACTGCTGATAGTAGTAGAGGGAGGAACAGCTGCTGACTGTGGTAGTTGACCTCCAAGCTGAGTGTTGATAGTAGTAGAGGGAGGAACAGCTACTGATCGTGGTAGTTGACCTCCAAGCTGATTGCTGATAGTAGAAACGAGAGTGACAGCTGATGGCTGTGATACTTGACTTCCAAGCTGGCTGTTTATGGCAACAGCATGTGGGAGAACTACTGGCTGCATTTTTTTACCTCTAATTTGACTGACTGCAGAAACATCCTGTGGTACTGGTTGTGATATATGACTTCCTCCTTGATTAGTGGTCATATCACTTTCACAAACAACAACGGACTGCACATATTGTCCACTAATTTGAAATGTCTCTGGTTGATAGCAGCCTTTAACAGACTCGGGACCCTTACTTTGAATCATTGAAATATTGTCTTCTGAAGTGATCATAGTGACAGGTGATTCCACTGTATCTACTGCCAATTTTCCAGCAACCACTTCTACATTAGTACTTGGAGACGATTCCACACATGGTGTCTGAAACAAAATACAATTTGCTTAATAAAGTACAGCAAACAGAATTGGAATACATTTACTACAAACAAAAAAAAAAAAAAGAGAGAGAGAAAGAGAGAAATTCTCCAATTTGAATAAAGAGTTATACTTAATTACTTTAAATTTAGTTCTTAAGCTTCATGTTTTCAATACGTGTAACTAGAGAAAGTATTAAACTACAAGCTCTTGCCAATCATTTAAATGTTTATCTTGCCTTGATACTTAAAATGAAAGAAAAGAAAACAAACAACAACAAAAAGTTTCTCTTAGTTTCAAATTACCGTGTGTTTGTAACAAGAAGATGGAAGAGTAAATATTTTTTAAAATCTTATTGGTAATGCCAAAACACAGAAGTACAGAAATGTACCAACTAAACAACTTTTAAGAAAGTGAGTGCTACCCATCTGAAAAATGTACAAAATACAAAAAGACTTATATTAATTTGATTGTGGGTATGTTTTCTAATTGAATAAGATGATTGTAAAATTGTAATAATGTGGGATTCCCTTGACCCAGTCAATCACTGAAATCACTCTTATAATAATTCTACTGTGTGTTGAACCCAGCTATTACAATAAAGTGACATCAAAATAAAACTAGTCCATAAAACTGCAATCTGTGACTCTTGAAAAATTAAACAGACTTAAAAATAACAAGCCCAATTCCATTTATTATAAGAGAACTTGGAAACATTTACTGGGATAAGACAAACTTTTAAGCTATTTCTAAATTTAGATTTATTGCAAAAGCATATTAATAAGAACAAAATTATTGCAGAGAAAAATAAACTATTTTTATATTCTTTAAATAACTCATTGAAACTTTTTAAAATCAAGTATATATTTCTACATGGTAATTTTCATCACATAAAATTAAAAACCCATGGTACAGTCACCACGCATTACTATTTTCAGTACACAAAAACCAAGATTTTATCTAATAAAGGCATTTCTTATTAAGTACACTTATCAACATTAAAATTATACAAGTAAAACAATAAATGAGCTTAAGTACTGTAAAGTTGAACTGTTAATCAACAGTAAAGAAATTTTTGTTATAGCTAAGAACTGTCAACAGTTTTGACTCACTTTTGAGATCAGCACATGCCATGTACTGCATTTTTGAATTTGAAGAAAAAAGCATTTATAGCAGTCTGTTCTACAAATATTTGCAAAATTTAATACCTTATTTAACTTTGTGGTTTCCATAACAATTGTGGCCTCTATGATAAAATTGTTATTTTACATCAAGCCAAACTTGTGTGCATTCTTAAACCATTATACAATTAGCAAATTGAAAAGATACAAAGGCTTACGGATGTTATATTATGTTGGGTTGACACACAAGATAATGGTATCATCTGCCTGCTTTCCAGTTCACTGTCCACTGTCGATGTGGCAGAACTACTACAAGTCACAACCGAGGTCAACTCGGCTAGTTTCTGCTGTAGACTACTGAGGTCAGGAACATGAGGCAGATTCTGGGATTGGTGCTGAGCAGCATGATTATTAGTGCTGCAATAAAAACATTTTGATATACAGTGTTTTAAAACAAATACATAATATGTTAAAAAGAAAAATAGTACACTGAAAATACCAATATTCATCCAAGTGTTCCCAACAAGAACTCTTGCTAAGGACAAGGCTGGATATCAGTTACCAAATTTGTGCTGTAACTACATCAGTTACAAAGAACTGGAAACCATTCAAAGAGTGTTAAATTGAACTTCCTCTATTTACAGTTCAACTTAATCATTTAAAAATTCAAAAGTCCCCAACCAAAATTCTGTCAATGATTACCTTGGATTGTTTTTCTTCGACATTTGAGATAGGTACTACAATTGTAGCATTAAGTATAGGGTGGATGTTTTACACACAGTTTTAAATATTTTTAGAAGTGTTTTCAGGAAAACTGTAATGAACTTATATTTACATTAAGCCAAGTTCTATCTCAACAGATGCTTAGTCAAAATCTAGTATGATTATCTGCATCAGATAAACTACATAATGAACAATAAGAAAATTGGTTTGAATATTAAAAAAAAATCACAAATGACTTAACACCTGACAGGGAATTCTTAAACCTTATGTCATTAGATACAAAACATACAAAATATTTAAAACAAACCTAAGCTCTGGATGTCTTGTGTCTGTATCTACCTCACTCTGAGTAGAACATCCATCATCTGTCAGAGTACTGGCCTCACTGGTAGTGATATTTTCTGGAGTTCTGTATTGAGATTGCAAACCTGTAAAGCTTGTTCCATGCACTTGCTTGTCACCAGCATCTATTAATTTACCTACTTTTCTCGTTTCATTAACAGATGCATCTCCCTGTTAGTTTCAAAGAAAATAAATCACAATAAATAAATAAATATATATATATATATATATATATATATATATGTACATACCTTAACCCTTTCCTACCCAGTGTTTTGGGTTATTATAGGGCAAAATAACACACCAAGTTTGGAAAAATTAAGTGTGATTTTTACCCTCAAATTACTTAAAAATGAAATCATTAATAAAATGTTGAGATTTTAAATTTTCTTTTGATGTTTTAGTAACATTTGTTTGCAATGAAATAAAAAAATCAAAACTTCTAGACCTAATTTTCGATTTTGTCCCCCCTCTGTTGTAATTATTATTAGTTAGATAGTGGAAATCATTAAATTTCCTGCCAAAACAGATACAACTTGCCAGTGTATGAAACTAAGTTGCAAATGTAGCAGTTCTGCATTTGTTTGAGGCTTATATTTTTGAAGTTTGTGATGTCAAGATCTACCTGCATGTTTTGATTTAGTTTTCAAGTTTCTAAACCTGACAAAATTATGAATATATTGACAGAAACCTGGGATTACTTTCTTTCTCTTTTGCAATTATTTGCCATAGAGTTACCTTACCTCCTTGTATAGTCAAACTACAAATTAAAGATGTAAAATTTCTTATTGCATTTCAAGGCACCTTGAGCCTAAGTGGGTTTTTGTCTTGTAAGTTAGAAAGGGTTTTATATTATTTATATGCTACAGAAAGGTAATAAATTAACTGAATGAGTTTCCTTTCAGGTTTATTATTTTACTGAAGTAATTGTGTTGGCACTAATTTTCTGTATACAAGAACTCAAGTTTTATAACTCAAAGCCATAGTGAAGGACAGTATTGTATTTTGCCCTTGGTCAAAGGTAAGTATCATTAGGTATGTTTTGAATAGATGTAAGTAAACTAGTAAATGAAGGAAATGTACAAGGTTTCTTCATAAAATAAAGTGAGATAAATACTATCTATTTATATTAATTTTAATACTTTATACTGTATTCTAATTTCACCATTTCTTTCAACAAAGTGACATCATTAGGCCTACAATGTGTATGAAAAGTGACTTTCAGGTCAACAGTTATGCGAGTCGTGTAAAAGTGCAGTAAGTATTCAAATATATATTTTAAAGTGTCCAATATTATCATGCTATGTGTTTGAAGTGTGTGTTTCAGATATGGTGACTTTTATGAGTTATCAATTTTGATCAATGCAAGGTTAGAGAAGGTATTATACCTGTTCATGAATTGTAAAAGGTTAAAGAGATATCACCTAAAAATATCATTTGTTTTGTTTAATTAAAAATCTAGGATGACAAAATACTCATCTTATTAAAAACCTTATTTCAGTAAAAATGTTTTAACTGTCCATTTATCTGTGGTTAATTTTACCATAACTATTATTCAATCTAAATTTTGCCAAGTATATTACCAATTAAAAAAATAATTTTTACAATACTTGAATTAACTGAGAAAAGATGTTTTATTCTACCATTAAACATGTACTTGGTCAAGAACTAAAATTCAAGATCTTATTTACTAACATTATCGCTTCTGTGTAACTTGTATATTTAAGTCACGGAACTTAACTGACACTCACATAGTTAGTAAGACTAATAATACAGCTTAAAAAAAGGTTAAATTTGAAACAATTTGCACAGTAAAATATAATGTGAAAGACATAGAAGCAAGTTCTTTTACTCACACAAATCCTGAATTCCCCAACAACCAAAGAAGCAGGAAGACGCTTACATAAGGAAGGTACACGGTGGACAGGAAATGTTAGAAATGTGCAAGGTGCAGCAGTTAGAAAAGAATCAGTGACAACACAGAGAGGATCACTAGGAAATGATGAAGTTAACACTGTAGGTGACTCTATGAAAGAGACATAGTCAATGTTATGAGATGACTGAGTCACCACTGGCTCAAATGACACCGGAGACACTGGTCTTGAGACAAACTGTCCTTGAAAGTTTGGCATACTAAGGCCTTGTTTTCTAAGGGGAGTTTGTTTGGATTCTATTGTGTTTTGTTTAAACAAAGTTGCAATAGAAGCATTGGGCAAAGGGAGATGTGTTAGTTGTTGATGAGGAACACCAAGTGATGAACCAGAAGTAAATGTGTCTTCAAGAATCACCTGAACTACAGGACCACTGGCTAATACTGGTGGAGTTGTAGAACCATGTAACGAACGATATTCTTCAACAGGACTGACCATAAATCTTGATCCCACTTGAACTGCCTTTGGTAATGAAATAGCACAAGTCATAATGTAGATTAATAATTTTTTTTAAATTAAAATGCTAAACAAATTTATCTCTTTTAAACCACTTTATTCCAAGAAAAGACATTAATACGTGATGTTTCTATATCCAAAAAAAGTATATGAAATGTATATATTTCATATTACTTGTGTGAAACTTATCAGAACTTTTCAAAATATAAAGATATAGGCAAATAACTTAGGCAAAAACTACATGTGGTTCAATTTTTGAAATTAATTATAATGATTAACTTCAGATTACTGCTCAAAATATTCAAAACTGTTTTGTCAATCTGCCGATGATCCTTATCTCTAATCTTTTCTTTCTCTACAATTAGTTTTATTAAAAGCATGCTTTAGATTTTCATGTTCACTTCAAACATAGAACAAATCACTATTGGCATTTGGGCGATCCAGAAGTATCCACCAGGTTTATAATTAGTACAAACACTGTTACAAAAACAAATCCAATAAACTAATGGGTAAGGAAGATTACATATTCCTGATTTTGCAATCTTTCCTTTATACGAAAAAAGAACTTGAACCAAACATAGCTCACATATAGTTATTAATTTTCAATACTAACTAAGTTTTTTTTTCAAACCTGAGGTAGTGAAGTGGCTGGTGCTTGTGGGCTAGCTACAATTCCTTCAGATGCTGTTGGATGGAAAGAATGACGAGTTCCTAGCTCAACCTGCGGAGAGGAGGGTATGACAGACTGGAAATGGGGCTTGTGTGCCGGTGATCCACATGATGCTGGGCAGAATTCCCTCTCACCATCTACTTTAGGAGTTGAAGGAAGACTGCCATCTTGACTATCAAAACTGCATTTCTGGAGCAATAAATACAGTTTAATCATGAGACACAACCAAGTAAGTATTGATAAAGAATTAAAACATCACCACCATAGAAATTTACACTTAAAGAGCAGTTATTATCTTCTAAGTAAAGAAAAATTAATGATCTTTCAGAATTGTCTACCCATCAAGAACACATCTTGCAGGTTTCAGAGAAGTTATTAAACTTAATTTTTTTCATAATTGTATCATATCATATCATACGTTTACTCAACTATTCTACAGCTCAAAACAGACATGTTAATGCTATATTAAAACTGAAGTTTTCAGTAGATACGTAGTGATTGGAAGCATAGAACTATATAGATCACTGGTTCCCAAACTCTTTTGATTGCAGATCACCAGAATTTTTGTGTTTGTGTGGACTTGATGTACCACATAATAATACAATTTAACACAACAAAAAAAGGGTTTAAAAAACCACTGAAATTACTAATATTAACCACAGACTCACCTTTCTGCATTTTAATGCAATGGATGAACCTGTTTGTGAGTAAAATTATATACTGTTGTGTATAATGTTCATCAGCTTTAACCTCAGGTCGGGTTCATTATTCACCATGCTTCTGTATTTAGATTTCAGGGTTTTAAGAGATTAAAATCTCATCTTGTACAGGTATATGTAGTAAAAAATGGCATCAGAAAACAAACTGCTTTGTCAGTAAGTTCTGGGTACTTTCTAGCTCTCTGGATCCAAAACTAATAGTTGATTTCTTTAAAATTCTAACCTTAATGTTTCATAACTGAAAGCTTCTAAAAAGCACTCTTCTTCTTTTGTAGAGAAACCAGCAGGCAGATCATTATTTTACAATATGCAAAATCTTTCAAGTAAAGAATACATTTTCCCACTAATTAAAAAACCATATAACAGAGAATTTCAGACATTTCCACTTAATTTATACATATTCTCCTTGCTTATATAGCTAAATTTATAAGGTCTCAAGTGTCGGTCTGCTCTAGGATCCATGAACTCTTCTTTTCTAATTATGAAACCTTTCTACAGACTGCCTGATGGGAGCTCACAAACTAGTTTGGGAACCTTTGGTCTATGTTTTGTTAAGTTCAGAATTAAAAGCCCTTAAGGTTTTTCATTACACATCAGACAAAGACTGAAGCACACACACACGCACATACATATATATATAATATCCTTTATGGCATTCAGGGAACTGTCAGGTTTTGATTAATTTTACATGCAAGTATAAAACAAAAATACATATTGTTTAATCATATCTAAAAGAAATTTGCCTAAGTTAGACAATCCAAAACTTAACTTGTCATTTCACTGTGATATTACAATTTTGATGTATTTTTTCATTTGCTTACCTTCTTTTTTTTGCTTTACACATTGTCTTGGAACTGTTAGTTTCTACATGTTTATGTGTGTATGTGTGCATGCGATCATACACTGTAAAACACAGGTAATAATATGCAGTAATCACAAATGTATACAAAATAAAAACAGCTGTAAATTAACAAGTAAATATTAACTTCAGTGTTACAAGTGTGAAACAAGATATGAAGTATAAGGAATTTTAAAATAATTGGTAGTATTGTAATCAAATTTCCCACATCAAAGTTTTCGTTTTTCATTCCATGGAAGCATTAAGTAATTGATACTTGAAATTGTCGGTACTTTGTGAAACTCCGTAATTACAGAATTGAGGAAAAGCAATACAATTGTACGTTTCACAAATACATCATTTATTACGACCACGGTTTCACCAGTAACCTGTACCTGATGATATTTTTATTGGTGAAACCACAGTCATAATAAATGATGTACTTGTGAAATATACAATTGTTTTGTTTTCCTCAATTCTGGCATTAAGTAATTGGTCTACCTTACTGTTTGATATTTACACAATCTATAGGTGAAAGCAGTCAGAGAAACTTGTCAGTACCTTGATGTGGTCCAAATCCAGCTGCTCTCTTAGTCCTGGACGTCTTCCTGTTACAGGACTTGATGTGGATGTTGGAACATGGACCTCACCTATATGAACAACTGGAATCTTGTCTGGATGTTCTTTTAGCTGAGACACAATCTCCTCAATCTGATCAATAAAAATATCTGCATGGTGTTCAGCAAGTAACTGAGTCATCACCTATTTAATAAGGAGATAAAAATCCTTAATTGTCAAAAAAAAAACACCTACACAGAAACTTTCAATATCCACTGGGGAATTCCAAACTTTTACATGAAGAACAATTGTATCATTTCACTGAAACCTTTAGCAAACTGATGGCAAGGTTCATATTTAATAGGTCAACATTCAACAATTAAAAAAAAAAAGGAAACTATAACAATGTAATATATAGTATCCTACCCATTTCTAAAAGTACATAAACCATTATATAGTTTCAGATTTACTTTCAATTATTTATGTGTTAGTTTTAACAACAGAATTACTGATAACATTGATACAAACTACATCAGCTATTTTTAAACACATTATTCTGAACTATTTATGCCTGTGGGTTCATGGCTGTTGGTTACAAGGTCCCTAATCACAAGTCACATGTAACAATGTACACAAAAATGCCATCAACATCACAATTGACTATTTACTGATGTGAACCCATATAATTTATACAAAAATTAATAATTTCACCCAAATTGTTTGGTCAATTCTATAATCTGAGTGTTGTAACAGACAAAAACAAAATTACTCAGTCTGATACATTATGTGGACCCCGCAAGTAGTGGACAGCATCCAAACGAGTCAGTAATTTGAGTTAATATGTTGCCAACTTAAAGTATATTAAGAATTACTGTTAACAGATATACATATTGTTGTGGTCCAAAAGAAACATTTTTTGTGATTCCACAACAAATTATACAAAACCAAGTTTAGGAAAAAATGTGGAAAGTAAAAGATTAAAAAAATTTCCAACATAATTAATTTGTGAAATACTTTTAAGAAAGGTTTTCTTAAATGCCATTTTTCATGAAATCCTTTAATAGGTTCCATAAAACTATCACATTTACATCTATCTGCACTAGCCTTAGACCTGCCAACTATTGAAAATATAAAATAGTAAGGTATTGGCCAAATTGGTAGGTATGCAGTCAGAATACAGGGATTGTAATGATTGCAAATGATTGATATTTTTTATGTGAAGTGTATCTTTTAATGCACTATGATGTACTTAATCACACTAGTTGGCAATGATGTGTTGTGAAAAACATTTATACACATAGAAAATGGACAGTGCATGTATACTTACATTTTCAATGCTGAAATTGTTTCTGCAAAATTTATCAAGGTTTATTAAGTTTTTTATTTTTAATAAATATATCTACACAAAATACATTTTATTCTAAAGAACTCTCATTTATTTTAATAAATACTTCTATAGCTTTTTAACAGTATGTTAAAACAAACTAACTGCAGAGTATTAAACTAGGCAAAAAAGAGTTACCAAAGAAAGCACACCAGTAAGTATACTGTACTATTAGCTTCCATAGTGTAGGAGAAAGTTAACAAAGAAAGTACACCAATCAATAGTGTACTATTAGCATTCCTAGTGTGGGAGAAAGATAACAAAGAAAGTACACCAATCAGTACATTATACTACTAGGCTTAAGTCTCTCTTTTTCTAAATATATATACATATATAGCAAATTCTTATTTCCATTTATTATAAACTTACCAGATTGTTACATATTTCTTCTGGAACAACATCTTCAATACCAAACTTGAAAGTGACAGTCTTCTTCATTGATTCTAAAAGGCATTCCACAACACTATCCTCATCAACACTCAAAACAGTAAGTCTTGGACCCCGATCTTGGGTCCGTCTACGCTTACCAAGTTTCTTTCGTACTGCATGTTTAACAGAAATGTCAGATGAGATGTCACTCTGTTCACTTGCAGAGTCCACATTACTGGAACAGCTACCAAAGAAATTGTACAATAAACATTAGAGGGGACTGTAGCAAGTACCTTTACTGGATGCCATCTCTGCCAGGTAGGTTGTGTCTTTAGTCTGCTCAAAATTTCATATTTTTTTAGACTGAAATACTGCTTAGATACTAAGCTTGATAAATTATAGTGAATTCTATGGTATTGATATAGTAATTTATGATTTTTTAGTTATTCAACTGTATATATATATATAAAACATAAAAAAAATTATTTTGTTTCATATCCTTCACGTGCAAAATTTTAAAAGGCTTAGCAAATGAGTACAAAGGTCATAACTAGAAAAGATAATTGTTTGCTTTACTTCTTTATTTACTGTTCTATGTTTTAAGAAAAGTAAGTTTCAGAACTTATTTCTAAATAGCAATAATCTATATACATATATATACAAAATACTAGTCTACTAAAACACAGCCAAGACAGGTCACTTTGTAAAGACTAAAGGTCAGTTTTATATTATTGGATAGGGTTAACATGAGTACACGTGTGCCGCATCATTCTAACTTCTGTATTTTTAGCCAGGAATGGCTGAAAGGTCAATATAATAAAAATATTAAATATATATATAAATATTATAATGTTATGAGATTTAACCTATTTAGTCTAAACGTTTATGTTTTTGGATTATGATATGTAGTCATTCTAGAACGAAAATGGCACAATTTATATTCATTTCCTAATTTTTTTAATATGGTTACGAGATCAGTCAAATAACAGATAAATTATTAAGTTTTTTCTTAAGAAAGGTTTGACAACTATCTTGAAATTATAAAGATTTTGCATGTGAAATTTGAAAATTTTCTGATGCACAAAAGTATTTTTAATCTTAAAATGAAAATTACTTTGCATGGTGGATTGGTAACATGCAAAAAGAAAAAAAAAAGCATGAGAAAAACATTGCTTTACAAACCTTAAGACTTAACCTGATGATTACCGACTACTAACTTTCTTAGTAGGCAA